CAAATAAATTGAAAACAAAAATTCTGGCTTTGTTAGGTTTTAGCACTGATATTTACCTTGATTTTAAAACCTTCCCGAGCATTCTAACATCTAAAATGGCGGAGAAATCTTTGACACACAGTCAAAGAAAACGAAAAAAAACAGTTTCGAGAAAAACATAAAACAATTTTTTCTTTGATTATCGCGATTTTTTCGTTTAAAAATGGTAGTGAATAAACAAGAAGGCAGTTTATTATAGGTTATCGACTATGGTGAATCGAATGAGCACATAGAGACATGTACGACGTACTTTTTTCCAGACGTATAGAAAAGTTCTAATAACTTTAATAACTGAAGTTTTCGAAAAAAAATTTTTTTGATGCAGGGGTCTTCAGAAAAACCGTTGTAAAACTCTCAAAAACCATCGAAAGACCAATAAATTATAGTGCATTCGAAAGTAGAGATAATGGGCTATCTAACTATGTATAAATCTAAAAATCGATATTTTTGTCGAAAATTCCTTTTTTTCTGAGGGGTGGGGGGCCCTTCAGACAGAAAGAGGAAAGAGAAGAGAAGATGCGACCGTAGTTTATATAATTATATATAGGCTAAAAGCGACCTGATATGTTTTCTAGATCATTCAGAAGCAACAATTGAATGGTGACTCGTTGATAACTCATGTGAGCGTTTGTTGTTTATGAGATGAATATGACTGATAGTTTTAACTAGTCTTAAGTCTTGAGCAATGTTAAAGCTGTACTGCTTAGTGACAACTGCTAAAGTAGTCCTAAATAAAGCTCAAGATTATACATATAATTGAAGATCATTTACTCCAGTTGACAGTTATAACAATTTTAACTTTTGACCGATTTGTTCTGTTATGAAATCTTCAACGATTTACTTTTAATTCGAAATTGTTTATGCATAAGATATCACATTTAATGAAGATGACTGTGACTTCTGCGTGTCGTTGAAAGCTGTTGACAAAAACAAAAATTTTAATGTGGCATAGTATAGAGTACATTGTTTCATTTAAAGTCGACTTGCAAATACGAGAAAACGTAACATGTAGATAAATGCACGAAAACCAAACACAAAGAAATCTAGAAATAGTCTTTTTTCAAGTAAGAAATAATGAAGTACATATATTTTAGTTTATTCTATCAAGCATGTCAATGGGGCCTGCAGGATTACTCTTTCAACTGTATAAAATCTACTCAAAAAGCTAAAAAGCCAAAATGGTTGATAGTTATAACTTAGGTTGGTAGTTATAACCGAATTTATAACCATTTTAACTTTTTGTCGTTTTTCTCAACTTTTAACTTTCTGAAAAATAGTTTTAACTCCCACAGTGGAAAGTTAAGAAGAAAGAGACAATGGCCTACTCACTCACGCAAGTTGCTATTCAAATGATTCAATACATAGTGCCCATAATTATGGCTGTTGGTATAACAGGAAATTCACTCAACATTGCTGTACTTACAAGACCTTCTCTGTATAATCACGCTTGTTCTCGTTATTTTCTGGCTCTTGCTTGTAACAATTTGTTCTATACAAGTGCAATTCTCTCTTATCTTCTTCTGGCAAATGGATACCAACTCGATGTAACTAAAGTTTCTCTTATTTCGTGCAAACTTGTTACATATGTCTATCAAGTATGTGCAACATCGTCTCCATTTTTTATTGTTCTTGCCTCGATCGATCGATGTTATGCCAGTTCAACGAGTGCTCGCGTTCGCAAATTCAGTAATGTCAGAGTAGCTCGCTGGGCAATTACGTTCATCATCATCATCGTCATGGTTTTCTACATGAATACGGCAATTCTGGTCGATTTAAGATCAACCGACACATTTGGATGTCGTGTTCGAGCAGATACTATCTACAAACAAGCCTATTCGACCATGCAAATTTTTCTGTTTGCCATTATTGCACCATCTCTTATGGTGTTCTTCGGTATCATGACCATATACAATACAAAAAAAGTGCGTGTCATTCCTACTGCAATCATATCTCATCGTTGAACCGAAAATCAACTCGCTCGAATGCTTCTTGTACAAGTGAGCAGTCATATTGTACTCACGATGCCAACGTGTGTGACTTATCTAATATTGGTCATGCCAAACCCAATTATAGCTACATCTGGCTTTTACTTTGCTCGAATGATGTCTCAACTTCTCATGTATTTGTCCTACGCTATGCCCTTCCTTTTATACACTGTTTCGGCTAGAACATACAGAAAAGAACTCGTTAAGTTGGTGTATAGAATTGTGCGACACCGTTATGACGATCAAGTTCATCCAATGACTAACACGAACACAAATCCTATTCTAGCAGTCAATACAAAGTCGTGCACAGTAGCAACAATACATTAGTGAACAGTATAACTTGCAGTGAAATTCAATATCTTGACTAAATTAATTTCGTATATGGTTATTCAATCTTATGAGAATGGGATTAATATTATGAGAATGGGATTAATATTATGAGAATGGGATTCATATTATGAGAATGGGATTAATATTATAAGAAAAAAAAACTGAAAATATCTTGAATCAAAGTTTATCAAATGAAATAGCTAGTTACAGTTCCTTCACAGTGCGCAGTATTAACCCATACCTTTGATTTTACTAAATAAATAAACTTGACATATAATTTTTACTGTGAATGAAAATTTGTCATAGCATAATGATGCACTATTTTTTTTCAATTGTTCTCCTAATGTTAGTCATTATTTTGTGAAACACGATCTGAAAGGAGGGTGTGGGTGTTCATGTAAATGAAGAGTGGATTTGCACCCGCACCCTCTGTTGGCTTTGCGTATTTTCAAGATCGATTCAACGTTTTCTACTGGGTTTGATAAAATCTTCAATTGAATACGCAACCGATGTTTTCTTCGCTGACTAGAGCGCGTGGGTGTGATTGTGGGTGGTGTTTATGGGTGTGGATGTAGGTGTAGGTGAAGAGAAGAGTCACACCCACACCCCACACTAGAGTTCGTCGGGTCCGGGTCTGGGTCGCGTCCGGATCTGCAGCAATTTTTGATGCATATGAGAATATTTTTCGAAGTTTTACTGATCTTCAGTTTTCTCTGAGGAGCTAGTTGCTTTGGGTTGTTAGTGTTGAAAATAAATTGTTTGTGTTCAATAGAACACATTGGTTTGGTCTCAGACACACACGAGATCAGGTTCGGGTAGGGTCCGGGTCTGAGTCCGGTTCTGAAATTTTTTTTTTTAAGACCAGGTACTGGTTCAAGAAAAGTTCAACAAAGCGGGTCCTGGTACGGGTCCACAAATATTGGACCCGACGGGCTCTACCCCACACCCTTCAATAAAATGCTCATAACTCTTCACCAATAGGCCATGGTTTCGAACAGCGTTCGGCAACTAGATATGTTCCCTCGTGAGAAGTCAAATAACAAATATTAATTTCGAAATATGTTTAGTTATGACTAATATATTTTTATTATGGGGAATATCATTTGATTATAAACTAATGAGAGACAGTATCCAAATCTGACGCGCTGATTGAGGCTGTTGAAAGGCCAAGAGAAAATATCGAAGTAAAAAATTATTGAAAAGTCTTTTAGATTGTGTCATTGAAATCATAGGTGTAACGAAAAATATTTGCTTAAACTCCCCACAGAATAGTAGCCCAGGGGGAGCCTCTGTTTCGCAAGCTATAACTTTGTAACAAAGCATGCCTCGGTATCAGTTTTTGCGTTATTTGATAGAAAAATGTTCATTCTTTCATTTTTTCATAAAGTGAACCTCGATTTTAAACGGAGAACTCTAACCCAGTGGGTGGGCTTCTATTCTGTGTGGGAGGGGGAAGAGGGTTCTACCCACTTTTTTTTTAATATTTTTCCTTTTGACCTTTCTACGGCACATCAAATGGCGTACTTAATTAATCAATGCCTACATCTCCATTGAATCTACGAAAAAGTGTGACGATCTTTAGATAGAAGAAGGGTTAGCGAAGATGACAATACACTTTATTCGGCTTCTTCGTATCATCAAACTCACCTGCCTACAAATGTTTCTACACTTTATATGCGCAGGCATCAAAACTAAGCAAATATCACAATATAATGATGTGATACATAATACCAGAGGATACGGACAAAACTTAGAGTAACGGTAAAGTACATCCTAAGGACGAAACACACGATAAGGATAAAATATTAGGCAAGACTAACCTTCATCATTACAAAAAGTACTTTAAAATATATTTTAACTTGAGGTACGATGTACCTTCTAGGATCTTCTTTGCTATTTGACAATTTCTGTAAAACTATAATTTTTTTTGTTTGTCAAAATGTTTACACATGAAGGTCTTTCACTCAATTTTTCTTTACTATGTAACAAGTCTATGATGACATATTCATTATCACTGAAGCTTTTACTTTATTCATTTTTTTAACTTGATCGATATGTAGTATTAGTCTTCATTTTTTCTTCTCGGTATTTTTCGCTTTATTAGTTGGTGTATTTTCCTTCTAGCTTTCATTTCTAACGAAGACCTAAAGACTCATATGCTAAAGAAACTTTGTTCGAAATTTCTGAAGTTGTTTTATGTAATCTAGTACTGTATGAACTGTTAGCAGAAGAGAATCATAGAACTGATGGTATAGTTTTCGAATGATTCAAATCATTTTAAACATTTTTCTATTTTAGGCATTTAATTATATTCCTGGGTTACATTACCATTATCTTCATTAAATGTTATTCTGACTCCACTTTGTCCTATACTATACCTTTACATTGGACATTAAATTTTTTTAATTGGTTATGTTGGAGCTGTTAATATTTATTTATATATAATAGGTGCAGTTCGTTCATTTTCATTAGTACGTTTAGGTTATGCACAATTTGCACTTCGAATATGTGGTACATTAGCAACAATTCCATTTGTTATTATATGTGAAATAACTGCAGTGCTTTGGTGTTTATTTAATGACAAAGGAAAATTTTATATCGTTGATAAACAATTAGGATCAATGGTTAATGTTTAATTCAACGAAAAACAAAGAAGGAATTCGATCTTTTATCATGATAATCAATTTTTTTTTCTAATTTGTAAAGAATTTTCTTTTTTCTTGTGTCGTTTTTATTTTTATTCAGTCACCTAATAATATATCTTCATTTTAGTGTTTTCTTGACTTAGAACCTCAACCTGTTGTCTGTCAAATGATGTTTCTTGTTGCTTTATTTAGTAAAACTTTACACATATATATATATATATATTATGAAAAAAAAACTAGAAGAAATTTTTTTTTGTTTTCATCGATGATAGAACAATATCATCTATATTATATATTTAGTTTTTAGATATCGTTGTTTTTTCGTCAGTTGTTCTAAGATAGTATTGATTTGAATAGTTTGATATGTCAATTAAAAGAATTAAATCTTAAACAGCTAATTATCTAGAATGGTAATTGATACAATATTATGAGTAATATATTGATTGTTTGTGATTAATTATTGATTACAAAAAAAACAAAACAATGTGTAATACTGTCTAATTATTGAGATATTGTTTTCTTTAGAGTTTTTATTCTTTTGATGTTATTGTTCTGGCCTCGACTGGAGCTGCATATATATTAAAAGACGATCAATCGTCATCGTCGTCTGCCGCTGGTGGTACTAAATCAAAAACAAGTTCAATGAGTTCATCAGAAGAAGGTATTGTTATTTAAATCTTTTTAATTTTATTGAATTAGTGTATGATGATTGAAATAGTTCCGTGGATTTCATGGTTTTGTGGTCTTCGTGGTAATGAATTCTTTTGTGAAGTTGATGAAGATTATATTCAAGATAAATATTAATTTAGTATATTTATTAAAATTAAAAAAATATTATTGAAAATTTTTCAATTATTATTAGACGGGTCTTAATGAACAGGTATCTCATTATCGTCAAGCACTTGATATGATTCTTGATCTTGAACCAGATGATGATCTTGATAATCAAGATAATCCTAATTAATCTGATTTAATTAAACAAGCTGCTGAAATGCTCTACGGTAAATAGAATATTTTCAAAGAAATGTCACAATTTAATCATACATAAATAGGTCTTATCCATGCAAGTTATATATTAACTATTAATGACATAGCAAAAATGCTTGAAAAATTTCAAAATGGTGGTTTTGGTCTTTGTCCTCGTATTTACTGTGACAATCAACCAATGTTACCGGTACAAAATAAAAAGGGATATCCTGAATCCATCAGGATTGGGACAGAAGTCGATGAAGAGATTTTGAATGGAGTTGATCGAGTTTCGGAGCACAGTATGCATCCAGACAGACATTAAGTGGGAAAATGAAAGTCACTCTTTCATCGATTCAAAATGTTGTTCACTAAGATCTGTCTGCAGGTGATATATAACATAAAATCACTGTGTGGAAAATGAATAAAATGTTTGTACTTTGATGAAAAAACAAAAAAACTTTTTTTGACATTGAAGGAAGCCAATAGTTTCTCGATTCTTGTTCTTACTCAGGACATCGTTCAAAACAAAAAACATTAGTTTTTCTTTATTCCTTTTTTTTTATTCATATTTTCTAATAGATTGATTTATCAGAAGTTCCTAGCGAGGCCATGATTAAACTTTATTGTCCTAAAAATGCATGGATGTTTATACATCTAAAAGTTCTCGACAGCATCATACAAATGGTGAATATTTTAGTACAGGTTTTTCTCATATGTTATTTATGGCTCATCCAGAATATCGACCAACAAATCAATTTGTTGCACATCTTTATGGCTTTCAAACTCATTCAATGCCTTATCAATTACAATATCAAGCAACAGCTAATTTTAAACAATCAAATTCAACTTCAGTTATTTCAAGTAGTGCTGGTGGAACAACAACAACTCGTTCACTTATTAAAGATTAAATAAATAAATAAATATGAACAAGTTTACACCTATCTATCTGTTATTGTTGCTTATCTACTGTATATGCCTTTCTTTTGAAAACATCATCTAAAATAAATATCTAAAATATCCTATAGATTGATGCATCGTTCTATGTTTTTCATAGTTAACAGATCAATGAAATAATATTCTCAGAAAATTATATTTCGAAAAAGAAAAAAAACTTCGCTTATCTTAAATTAATCATAATTGAATTATGTTGATTAGATTCTTCTATTTGAATATTTTTAGATGCCTAACGGAGAAGATGTTCGCCTTAAAGTCGATCATGCTAAAAGTAAAAAAGTTGAAGGAACATTATATATGATGAGTGAACGTAAGGGTTGGATGCCTGAACATAGAGATATATTTACATTATCCTTTGATTATTGTGATATTAAATATAAGTATTATTCTTGTGTTTTGTTGGAAAATAACATTTTAATTTAATACATATAACGATCATCGTATATCATCTGATCAAAAATCTAAAATACGTTTAAAAATTGTTTGTTATAATGAAATGATGACAACATTTCATTTTTGTAATCCCATTGGACTTGATGCATAAAGAAAAGATCGCGATGCTGTTTCGAATCTACTGAAAATATTATTACCGGAATTTAAAACAATGATGGATCAAGCATTAGAAGTTGAAACTTAGTAAAATAATTAAATAATTACAATTGTCGCCATCATATGGTTGATATTTAAACTTTGAAAATAAGCAAAAACCATAGAAATTGAAATCAAGAGAATATGGAAGATTTGAATATTTAGATTTCTGCACAGTTAGTAGACATAATATTTTACGAGAGCACCGCTTGAAGTGATTCACCGCTTTTGAGCTTATTTTTTGGACATATAGAGGGGATCTCTTGACTAGAATACTCCTAAAAGAATTCGGACCCATAGGCCTCCGTTCCAGAATTATAGCCATATTTAATTTAATTTTAGCCGAGGGCAAAGTATGCACAAAAACAAGAGACTGAAAGGATTTCGGTCTGAAATTTTGTCTACAGATAGGTCTACTCATAACTAGAATGTCCTGAAAATTTCAGTTCAAAGGAATGTTTCCTTCACGAGATGTTGAATGTCAAGAAAACATGAGATTCTTGCATCTTTTATAAGATCTGAATGACTTTAGAAAATTCAGCATCGCGCGAAGTAAACATTCTTTCGAACTGAAAATTTCAGGATATTCTAATTACAAGTAGACCTATCCGTGGACAAAGTTTCAGTTCGAAATACCTTCAGTCACTTTGTGTGTGTATACTGTGCCCTAGGCTAAAATTAAATTAATATGGCTATAACTCTGTAGTGGAGGCCTATGGGTCCGAATCCTTTTAGGGAGGTTTCCTCCATATGTTCAAAATATGAGCTCAAAAGCGGTGCATTTTCTTCGAACTTCCATAAAAAACTTAAATAAATGTGGTGATCCTTCATTTTGTTCAAAATTTTTTATTCTTCAAAATGTTTTTGCTTTAAATAGAAAACTTCATTAAATCTAGTGGAACTTCAGTTCAATTCAGTAGTATTTTTTTCTATTTAGTTTAAACCCGATGATGAGTTAGAAGATTTATGAACTGAACAAAAAGAAGAAAATCAAGCATTAAAATTAGTTAATCCTGAAAGACATCTACATGCATCAACAACAGATCGTTCACAAAAAACTTCTGTACTACAAATACCAACAAATCTTAATAATCTTAAACACGAAATGACTAATTGGCATATTAATACCGAATTAGCAATGTGTTTAGTTTATTTGTATTTGTAAATTATGTTTGTGTTGGTTTTTTTGTCTAGAGTTTAAATTCATCTTTAGCACATAAGATTGTTAAAGATTTAACACCTGGTGGTGCTCTTATGCATGGAACAACATCACAAACATTATCACGTAATTTAAATTAATGAGTCTATTAAGCCGCCCGCCCCCCCCCCCCCCCCCCCCCCCCGCCACACCCACCCCGCCCACACACACAAACAAATACAACAANAATTACGTCCGATTAGTCTATGTCGGTCAACTTGTGTCTCTTGTTTATTTTTAATAAAAGAGACAAAAAATTCGTTCTTTTCTCATTCTACGTGCCAATTATACAACACATATTGCTCATATTTTAGAGGTTCTTATTGTTCAAGGGACCAATAAAATGTGCTCACTTACAGAATAAGGAGATGATCATAATCGAGAGACTCATTTCCAGCAAAATATGGTCGGGCGGCCCACAGAGTGCTCAGTCTGAGGAGTTGCTCGTTATAGGGAGGTGCTCATATATAGAGGTTTTACTGTCTATGATTCAAGAATAATAGGTTAGCTTAGTCTAGAAGTTGTCTATAATTGAAGAAGACACTTGAGATTTGTCTCTCCTCCCTCACCATATAGTCAACTCTGAATAGATTTTCCGATGCAGAAAGGGGTGAGCATAGCTTTGAATATATTTCATTTGAGAATATTGTAAAGCAATAAAAATAATCGATGTCGCAGCTATTTTCACTTGGTGTGAGACGGCAACTATGATAAACTATTAGTAGATTGTGAAGCGCTCCGATGAGACGATGTTTGAATAACTCATAGTGCATTGCTTTCGTAAATACATATTTTTACCACCTCTTGCGTTGCCATTCAATGGATCTGCATTTAACAGCAATTTGGAACAAGCAGTCTATAACAAAGCATACTTGTCAACTGAATAAAACTACGAATAAGTGTATGTAAATACAAAAATAAGCGTGCTTCTCGCGAGTCAAACTCATCATTTCTTACAAAATTGTTACATGTTTGATATATGTCAAATACTTGTTTTAGATGGATGGTACATCTTTGCGTTTCGAGATGTTACCTGACGAAATTATGCTAAATATATGTCGTTATCTTTGTGGAGGTGATGTTCGTTATGCCTTTTTTAATTTGAATACTCGTCTCAATAAAACAATAACAGATTATTATCATCTTTTATATTTGATGCCTCATGTGTACCGGAAATTCGATTATGTCATCTGCCATATTTTACCCGAAATTAGTATGTCTGCTCGATCTTTGATGCTCAATGGTAATTGGGAAACAATAATGTCGTCCAGAGCACTTTCTGTTCTGTTCGCTATATCCATATCATTCACGTTTCCACAACTTCAAAAGCTCACATTTAAATGGTTTACCAATGAAAGACTTTGGCTACTCGTTGATACTCTTCAAAATTTGTCACAACTTATCGAACTTAACATTCGATTTCTTAAGGATGAAGCTCAAGATACGTTACTAACGAAAGTTTTCACTGCTAATAACGGCCAACTTACATCGATATCATTCGATCAGGACTCGATTTATTTAAGTATACCCGAAGAAAACAAGATGGTCTCGTACTCGAATATTAAGGAGCTAAAAATCAATTTGACTCGACGTCAAATGTTGTTTCGCTTCTTTACAGGGGTTCCAAATGTACATTGTCTACGTGTACATCTTGCTGAAATTTCAGAGAGTCCAATTACTAAACAAGAGTTGACCGATCTACCATTACTTGCTCATCTGATTGATTTCAAGTTACATTCGATTAATCTCTTTTGGATATTCGATGAACTTGTTGATATATTACATCGAATACCCATTTTGCAAAAACTGACACTCGATCTTCGTACATACGACAAACGCTGAATGAATGGAGATAATTTCATGGTCGTTCTAGGTTCATTACTCAAAGAGACTCACTTGTTCATTGGCTACTACTTAGGTGCACAGAATCTTAAAGCAGATGCATGATTTACATCCGAAGCTACTCATCCACCGATTGTTAGTTTACTGAACGAAATAGAGCACCGTCTATTAGTTTATACGATTTCTTATAGCTTACGTTCGATTATTTTACCAGAAGCGATCAGTAAAAAAGTGTCATGCAACTGAAAATATATCCAACAAGTGGAAGATCTATGGATTTACGAAGCAATATCTCTTCAAGAAAATTTTCTGATTGTATAACACATTCGTCGACTTCGAACATTTCAGTTGAACTCATGAAAAACTCAGAAGCCGGTATGTATATCTTCTTCTTAACTTTAAAATTTATATTCTTATTCATAAAGTTTTGTCGAATTAAGTATCAGGTACCAAAAAATAAGTCTATAGATAAAAGAAATCAATTAAAAACTGCTTTTTATCTTATGACAAACAAGAAAAACTGAAGAGAATGAATAGTACAGGATGTTGATCATTGCGTCTCTTTTCCTTTTCCAGCATATTATATTAAGTTGAGATTCATTTGTAATAACGCACTTTGAAATGATTATTGCTGTTAGTGTTACATGGTTTCTTGGAATAAGAAGGTCAATAAATCTGGTCATTTTACTAAACTCAAATAAAGATTCTATGACAATCGGAAATGTTCAAGACTATTCTGTTGGTAGTTTCCAGATTTTTCATAATGTTCTCATCTATTTGAAATACACTGTAATAACTCATTTTCTGTACGCGGCAAGTTTGGAGATCGATCTTTTGGGTATAAAAATAGTTTGCATTAGTTATTTTCGACAATAGCTACATAATCTTCTCTGCCTTAATGAATACGTAGAGAGATCGTTCTTCAAATGTATATACACTAGAGTCAATACACTTGAGTTTTAAAAAATGAAAATTTACGAAGAAAAATACATAGAATAATAAAAGAGCAAAAAAACATTTCCGCTAGTCTTACAGTGAAGATACTTGATTTTCGTGAGACCATTACTTGAACCCAATCCGATAAGCACCAAGATTGATGACAGTCTTCTTTAAATCCTATCTTTTAGATATTAGCTTGTCGTACAGTAGTATGCTGAGCTGCGTGTCAAACTTTTATGTTACCGTGAATGAAATTCACAATTTTACGTAAATGACAATCGAGTTACTCACATCAATATCATATTCTATGTGTAGCGTAATGGGCTACACGCGGCTATGACATATAAATAGTCAAATATTGAATCGTTTCCCAAAATGAATTGCATTCTTCAGTTCAAACAGAACGGGGCATCTTAGACATTTGTGAATTAATTATTTCTTTTTGTCTGTGCACACTTAGATGCCATGACGACTAAAACACAACCAATTGTTTTATCACTGTCTCGATTGCTTAAGCTCGATGTATTTGGAATATGTGAACTCTATGATTTGATCAGCGTTGTATCCAGACTCAACTATTTAAGTATTGACTATCATTGCCTAACAGTTCTACTCAATGGTGAACCTTCATGTGCGCGATTAAAATAACAAATTATGCGCCTAGACGCTACCAATTGGTTCGACATTGAATTCAATGTATTAAAATGCGTCTCCAAAGTATTTAATCAACTTCATCATCCTATTCGTACTTCGAAAGATTCAAAAATGATCACTGATTCGATTGTGTTTACACTACTTGCTGTCTGGAACGGAGAATATTTTCCGTCTATCGATATGGAAGCTTCGCCGTCAGATGAAGCGTCTAAGAATCTTCGCCAATCGTTGATAGACGATACTCAATTAACAGCTACGAATTCGTTCGGAATCGAATATAAAGATGACTGGTTTGACTTATGTTTGTAGTATTTTATCTATGTTAGTGGCATTTCTGTGTTCATTCTCATTACAATCACATATTCTAACAACGATTTGATCATGATTCATTCGAAAAACAAAGACTTTTACTATTAATTTGGCGATAGTTGCAGCAAATTCTGCCGCAAGCTGTAATTAGTGATATTCAAGAGTGTATTTGAAATAAATAAAAAAGACTCCCGTGCTCGCATATATTTGAAAGCAGACATGTTCAAATTCTCCAGAAAAAATGTAAGAAGAATCTAGTGAAAATCAAGCTTTCCTTGTACCTAAACATTAATTGTGTTACTTCGTTTCACTGAATTCCCAGTGAACAATTGACTCAATTCTGCCTTAATTCTCGCTAGATTTACATTGCATTACAAATCGATGGGTGTGAGCATGCTCGTGCATGTGGGCACGAGTGCCGATGTGCAGAAGAAAAGTAAAAGAAGATTCACAGTTAGTCACAACCACATGCCCCTAAATTTACACTTGAAGCAAGCATCTGGGTCAGTATTTCGCTTCGATAACATTAAATAGATTTCTCAGTTGATCCGCCAAACAATAGATATACGGCTATATTAACATTCAACGACGACTATCGTTTGTTAATCGGAAGCCAATCCTGTAATATGAGCTAATATACACGCGTCAATATTTAAAGAAGAAGATGATCGGACTATTCGTCGTGGGTATGTGAATATGGATGTGAGTGTCGGCGTGAGTGAGAATCTTTTGTGTACCTCCACTGACATCCTCATCCACTGAATTTCAATACTCCTTCAGGATATTTTAAGACTAATGTATCATACGACAAATTCTTCGACACATTGCTTGATTGAAGTATGCATCGTGGTTGTTCATTTCAAGACTCATCCTAGTAATAACAGATTTTGACTTTTACATTTCGAATGAATATATAAAGTTTCTTTCGCTGTCTATTTCAGTTTGAAACTGATGCATCGTAAAATTGAGCCACCTGATGAGTTCTTTGAGCATGGATGGAACTGTTCATAGCAGATTTCCTCTAGTACTCATCCATCCTCACACCCATCTGATACTCAATTGCAAATATGATGATGGTCATCCGATCGAATGAGTGAAATCATACAAGTATTCACAGGCTATTTGATAACGACAATACTTGTCTGGAAGAAGATCAGTAGTCGTATTGAAATTGAAATTCGACAACAAACTGCTATAGTCCACTCGATTAGATTTGGAGAGTTAAGGCATAATATATTTCGGCAATTTATGTTCTCAATATTTGTACCACTTTTCTTCATATGGCTTAATGCACTCTATCATCTATTTTCCACATACACTTACGATGAACGTACACTGATGATCGATGTTATGCATATTGGACGCAATATCTTAAGAGAATTGCCAAAATCTTGAACATTTATCTCTTGCGGGAAGAATCGTGTTTAAATGGGATCCATTCCGAGTGCCAAAAAAGAGAAAAGATCGTTTTATTCTCTTTGCTTTTCTAAACGATTTCTCTCACATGTAAATGCTTTTAACCATATCTTTAATTGATTACTAAATTATAATTCATCTAAATCCGTAGCGATTATCTACATGACAGATATCAGATACTATGCTAAGTTTCCAGAGACATGTTAGTGCAGACAGTCTTTCTTCGTTTCTCTTAAACTCATCTCTTTGTCAGTTATCTTCTGCCTTAATAATTCATCATCTACTTTACGCTTTACTCTTGATTTGTCTTTCTTTAAAGATGCTAACTCTTGCTTTTTTTTTCTCTTCTTTTGCAGGTGTTGTATATCATTCTGACAGATACACTTTTTATCAGGTACCTGTCTCATTAGGACATATTTGAGTCAGAGGGTGAAATATGGCAAATAAATATAACTTCTGAAATGTTGATTTTTTTCTCAGTTAACGCATCTAGATTTAATATGAATAATTCATTCTCAAGTACTGATAACGTCACCATTGACAGATGTTGTTCATAATGTTCTCTTTTAAATTTTATTCTTTCATTTTTTATTGCTTTTTCTTCGCGTAAAAACACTTAGGGTTTAACTCGTGATGCAGATGAAACGATAAGCATGTTTGAAGTTCATATAATTATCAAGAAATGCATCCACATTTATGTCAAGCTACACAACCATAGATAGATAAGAATGATTTCGGTTCCACCACTTCTTCCAATCAGATTCTATTCATAAGGACGTTCTCGTTAACAAAATAGTTCCATTAAACCTATCACTCCATCATTGTATTCATAAGTGTCATTTCAACAAACGATGCAACTATTTCTATATGTCGTGATTTTGAAATGTACGAGTGGTATCGTTCTTCTGTACGACACTCAGGATGGTAATCAAGTTGAAAATTACGATTGTATCTATAATCGAGATCCTAGTGGATCATTGATAAAATACTGTAAACGTTTCGAAACATCTGAACTACTGTGGCGTAAATCAAACGATTGTCATAACGATGGAAAACGATGGAGTTTTCGTGAAATTCTGTTGCGCGATATTACACCAGATACGGTTATACAATGGAGCTCGAGTATTGAAACAGCAGATAACTATGCTCGTATCTTCTACGCCAACAAAAGTGGAATTTTCATTGATGAAAGCGATATGAATGGGTTTGCTTGTAATTGCACTAGATTGGGAACGTTCGGAAAATTCTGTGAATATCATTTAATCAATGGCACCGATGAGTCGTTATTTTCGTCCTCAATTCGAACGCAATTTGAGAAGAAAAAAGGGAATGAAGATTGGCTACAGATCTTTGGGACTATTGTATGTTATAAGACGCTGGTTTGTGATTCTGGTTTGATGTGTTTGGATTGGCGAAATATTTGTGATGGGAGACAGAATTGTCTTGATGGCAAAGATGAAGAATCTTGTGACCTTTTGGAATTCAACGAATGTGAGCCAGACGAATATAGGTGTGACAATGGTATGTGTATTCCTGAAGAGTACTGGCTCGATGGTAAGTTACTGAGCAAGACACTCGATGATGATCGGATTCAAAGTGTCATTAATCGCATTGTTGTCTATCAGAAATTAAGGAAAATCTCGAAATAAAGCAATCGTTCAGTTGTTTAGTTTTTAATTTCATCAAGAACCAAAAGACAGATACCGACAGCTCATCTTCTTTGCATGAAACAACTTAAAGGCATTAGACTATCAACATTTCATCAGTCAAAAATGAAAAGTAAGATTAGCTCTTGGTGGATATGTAGCAACAATGATCCTGGAAAAATCGTCACGCCAACTTCCATCGTAAAATATCTGGATACCCCTTTCGACTTCGATCAGAAATGTCAATTTGGATGGCTAGGATCATATCGAGCTTGAATTGAGCTAAGCATCAGACAATGTTGATTGATCTGGAACCTTCAATCTAGTCAATCCGTTATATTAGCTATAAAGATTGAAAATTTTCTTAAGGTTATCAGTGGATAGCCTACACAATAAGCATTAGAACATTTTTTCCAAAAGAATACTGTCATAGTTAGGTGTTTTCGACTTGGTTCTGAGTGCCCATTTCAAGGAAAGGTCAGAAATTTGACCCGGTCATTCAGACTGGTGTCAAATTTTCTCATTAATTCTCATAAAAAGCCTTATTTCTTTGAATACTTGGTACATTCGATAGTGCTTAGCGGTGTGTATCTGCATTCGAACGTAGTGCTCAGCATCGTGTCGTCTCACTGAGTATTATGTCGTTCCAAGGAGAAACAATGGACTTCAAAAGACTTCAAAGGATTTCAGCAAACTTTGTGAGAATTCATAAGACATTAGCAGGCTTCAAAAGACTTCGCTAGACTTCAGAAGATTTGGAAAGACTGCCAAGACTCCATGCGACTGCAAAACTGAAGTCTCAGTTGCTTTCCTGTCTGGAATGTTTATATAGAATATCCATACATATAAGACTATAATTGAACTGACTATAAAATATCCAATATAGAACTTTGAGTTCTACATGCTATGAGGTATTTGATTTCAATATGAATTTAGACTAAAAAGGGCACTTAATTTCAAACTGAAATCGGGGAACAGGGGGATTTCAGAATAACACACACACATATATATATGTATATATGTCCCTCCCTTTTCGAGATGGGAGAACTAGGGGAACTAGAAGGACTAGGGAAACTTAAGAGACTTGAGATTTATATAGCTATAATAACTATGTAAATCTTAAGTCCCTAAACTCCTCCGGGTTCCCTAGTCTCCCCCATTCAATGAAAATGAGAATAAATACTTACAAATATAGCTTAGTTATTTTTAAACGGACTTCTTCCGCTTTCATTCCAATAAAAGACTGATATATTCATAGACAGGTGACTCTATAATTTTTGTGTCATGGGTGTGTATTAGCTTGAATGCTTATGCGATCTGTGTGATGTATGATTTCATTTGCTGGATACTTGTGCTGGTGTAGTGTACGAAAGTCGGAAATAAGGTTTTCGTCTTTCTGAAAGTGAGTCTCTTTTAAGGGATTTCGTGTCTCATGATACATCTCAAATTAATAGTGGCTGTGGTTTATGTTAAGATACGAGCTTTCTTTTTAGCCCCCGCTCCCGCCGTCGTCAGAAGAAAAGGGACGTGCTTTCTTTGTATTCAAAATTCAATCTGAAATCAGAAAACTCAGAGATTCGAGTTCTACTAGACCTTTAATACCTCGAAAAAGCTACTTGTTCAAAAACGAAGGATTCTTCATACTCCGAATGCGACACTTGGCAGTACATGCTGACTTTTGTCGTTTCATCTCATCTGAATCGTTGAAGTTTCGTGACATTTCGAAAAGCCTGTTTGATTATTTTGTGTTTGATTCTGAGTGATTCTCAAATGTTCTAGTATGATCTATTTATGCAACTTGAATGTAAACATTCTGAAAATATAATAATAGCCATTGATCTTTATTTTAGGAGAATTCGACTGCATGGATTTAAGTGACGAAAAAAATTTTACCAAAGGTATGTATTGTTCTTCGACGTTTGATACCTTCCTATGTGATGAACGACTCTGTTATCCATGGTTTACACCTTGTGGAGATGGCGAATGTGTCATGTTAACATACTTGTTCGAGCATAGCACTTCGACTGATTGGAGTTGTGCGAATATGCGAGAACGAAATTATTATTGCGAAATTACTACTGCTAGACAATTGTGGACAATGCCAAACGGAATGTGCTATCCATTTCCAGACTACGATGATTCGAATGATTTGAATAATCCGAACTTAACTCAGTCGGAAAAATGTATCTATCTGGTTAAGTGTGCTTTGTCACGTGGCTTTGAACGCGACTGTCCGTGTAATCAAGAAAATTGTTCGATACTGATGAAAGAAATTTGCAAACAAGATTACGTTATCTATCCTGTCGGTGCTTTATATGCACCTCACCTTTTCCATCAATACAAAATTGATCGTGATTGGCACGCGATTGTACCAGACTTGGCTAGAATGAATGGATGCATCCAATGCCGCGGCTATCGTGTATGTCATTCGATGTTGCACAATATCACATTCTTCCATCAGTTATTTCGTGCAGCTGATGTGATCGCTTGTAAATATGTCCAATACATGAATAATACATCGATAATACAAAAGGACAAATATTGTTGGAATGATTCGCGAACATTCAATGGTTATCCTTATAAAATAGCTGATGTTTGTAATATATCGAAAGAATGTATTTCCAAATATCGACTTTTGGACCAAGCTGCAAACTGTATGGATGCAATGGATGAGAAAGTCGTCGATTATAAATGTGACGTTAATATTAGAAAGCATCGTTTTCAATGTTCATCGAGTGATTCAAAGTGTTTGCCTGTGTGGCGCTTGGGAAATAGAGAAAAGGATTGTTTTGATAATTTCGATGAATTCCTCTATGGATCGAGTTATCCACTGAATCGAATCGATTGTAAACAATCGAATGATGTCGGTTGTCAGAGACTTCGGATGTACATTAGTCAATCTTCATCAATGAAGACAAATGAATCTTTACTGAATTTCCCAGATGAACCCGTGTCTTCAGTTCAAATTCCGTTTCATTATTTTTGCAATAGCTACTGGGATCTTTCGTCGAAAATCGACGAGTCACCAACGTACTGTCAACAATGGATTTGTTCAACAGGCGATTTTCAATGTAAAACTGGTCAATGCATATCGATCGATCATGTTTGTGATGGAGAAATCGATTGCTCTGATGGTTCAGATGAACAAGCTATTTTTGTTCTGATCGATCATATGTCGGAACATAATCGTCAACTAGGCAGTAATTTATTAACGAAAATCGAACAATGTCACAAGATGTACGATCATAAACAACCATTCGATGAATTTTGTGATTTTCAATATGAATTTCCTTGTCTTTTAAACAATGTGACTGATCCGACGGATCTATTTACGAATCGGCCGTGTATTAATCTAACTCAGATCGGTGATGGCACTGCCAATTGTTATGGTGCACTTGACGAATTGAATACGTTTGAAGATTGTGAGGGAAATATGAAAGGATTTGGTTTTCGTTGCAATAGTTCATGGGCATTGTCTCCATGTAAGGCTTATACACATCTTTGCGAAACTCGTTGTAAAGATCGCGATGACCAACCAATTTGTTTTTATCGCTCAACAATTGGAAATTGCAGTGCTCCGACAGATGTTACATGTCTAAATGGAACACAATGCATTAAAGGAGGTCGATGCGATGGTTCATTAGATTGTCCGTACGGTGAAGATGAATTTTGGTGTCCTAGAACTGTTGGTAATTTTGAAAAGTCACACTATCGACAAATAAAACATCGAAACAATATAGATAGAACATTTGATCTTCACATTCCATTCTATCCACAATTGCATCGTTTACCAATCGGTTTTCAACGTTTTCAAACAACTATTCGAACCAAGAAATTTGGTCGAACAGTTCTAGAATATAAATCAATTATGCGCGATAGTTTTTGGTGTAATCGAGGTGTTGCTGTCCATGTCAATGATACTATCGAATGTTTTTGTCCACCGACGTACTATGGAAAGCGATGTGAATATTTCAGTGATCGAATCACCGTTGTAACGCATCTCGATCTTTTGCATTTTCAATCTGATATTGCTACGAAAAACGACATGAATGTCGTCATCAAGATTGTAGCTACTCTTCGTCACAAATACAATATTCTTGACTGGCATGAATTTCACGTACAATCGCTAATTGAAAGAAATGAATCTGTCAAACATAAATTTCACCTGTTGTATAGTCGTAGTCAATTACATTTGAAAGAAAAACAAAAACGACAAGCATCTCGGCAACAGATTCTCCATGAACATCCATATTCAATTCGCTTCGAAGCATTTGAATTACGAAAAAATCAGATAATTGTCGAGTTAGGAGCTTGGCATTATCCGATAAATTTTGATTTCTTACCATCCTTTCGCTTTGCCACTATTTTACGATTTCCTAACGATTATACTAATGCTTCCATTGATTCATGTCGCAAGCATCGCTGCCAACGCAATTCAATCTGTCGACCATTATTCTCGACGAAGGATTCGTATTATTGCTCATGCAAACAAGGATACTACGGTCAATATTGCCAATCTTACAATAACCAATGTTTGGTATATTGTTCCCCATTATCGATATGCAAAAGTGATTACTTGATTCAAAGTCACGGACTAGAACAACCGTTGTGTATCTGTCCACGTGATCGGTACGGACCACGGTGTCATCTTCGTCTTGATTCAATTTGTTCGAGCGATCGCTGTCAAAATAATGGCACCTGTTTGTATACATACGATTGGAGTGGTGAAACACAATATCATTGTGTTTGCCAAGATCGTTTCTATGGAAATGTATGTGACCTTGAAAAAGTTCCTATTAATATACGACTGAATACGACAGAAAACGTTCGGGCAACGACCATTCAGTTTTATGAAATCAATAGACAATCTTTTCAGCTTAATATTGCTCATCAAGCCGTTCAATCGGGTCTTGCTGAATTTCTCTACTATAAGTACATCGGTGAAGTTGTACCACCACTTTGTTTGCTGAAATTTTACGACGATCTGTTTTCGTTTCGATATTTCATCGGTTACTTTCGACTCTCTGTTAATATGATCAGCATAACAAGCAATCCATTGTTTTGTCCTAAAGCGAACACGTATATTCAGAAATTGAACGCAAGTAAGTGTTGATTGACAAAGAAATTCTTGTTACGCACTCTTACACTATTACCCATTTCATACGAGAAAAAGTTTCAATGATTTTTGAACACGTTTTGATAGAAGCAGGATCGAGAGCTGCAGTTTCCATCATTGGAAAGACATACCAATTTATATATTACTGATTTTCTTTTCCAAAATTTCTAGGGTAGCTGTCGAGCTTTGTCGAAGCTAGTGTTTCACAGCAATGAGCTTTCAACTATCAGAGTTTTATGAGAACTAACAATCAAAGACTGAGAGGGTACACAAAGCTCAAGCTTTTAGTCATAATTCTTTGGAAGCTATGAGTATTCTGCTCGAAATTCTAACCCAACTTTTCGAGAAATTTTGTGAAACAAATTTCTTTTGAAACATTTTCTTTCGAATATTTCCTCACTTCTTTTATATCATTCTGTTTAGAAAAGTGATTTTAAATCCTTCGGAAAGAAAGATACCTATAAGAGACATTCTGTAGAGGGTGTGTATGATTCGTTGATTCTTTCGAATGGTGGAAGCAACAGCTGTCTATCTTAGTTCCATCGAAAGTTATCTAAAGAATAATCAACATTTTCCTATTTTGAAATGGATTGTAGCGATTGATTTAGATCATGACTCGGTAGTGTTTTCTTCTAGCATCCTTACAAACTGGTATTCCATCTGTGTTTCTCTATCATCATATTTGTCGACAGTACATCAATTCGACAAGTTCACCTGAATTACTTTGTTTTCATGATGAAAGTTATTTATGTTTGTGTGACAAAGATTATTTGCGAGCTACATGTTTTATTTTTGATTCAACACTCGATCAATGTTCAATATGCCAATCGAATGGTCGATGTATTCAAGGTCAATTGAACAATCGATCCGATTTTCTTTGTTTGTGTCCACATTGTCACCATGGTCGTGTGTGCGAATTTAACAACGAGGCGTTCAGTAGCACTCTTGATTCACTGATCATTCAGGACAATACAACAATTCAAATGATCTACCTGAGTTTGGTTATTATATTGGTTGTAATCGGTCTATTCAATAATATCTGCAGTTTGTTCACGTTTCAACGAAGAGAGCCAAGAAAGTTCGGTGTGGGTAATTATTTACTCTTTGTAACTATTCTAAATCAAAGTTCACTATTCTTACTCGTCGGTAAATTGATAACAATCCGTTTGACTTCAATGAATCTGATGCACACTCTGTCGTGCAAATTTATTTCATACTTTTTATCGGTTTCGACTTACTCGAGTAATTGGATAATGACCTGGGTTACTGTTGCCCGTTTCAACGTAATGCTTGTTCCAAATTCTCCCATTACGAACAAACCAAACATATCAATTGTTATTAGCGTGTTAACCATCATCATGATTCTACTATTGAATGTACATGAATTCTTATATTTGAGCATCGTTCAACCATCACAGTCGTGTACAATGATATTTCGATCGTCGCCAGTTGCAACTTATCATCGTTTTGTCGTTACTCTCAATCATTTCTTGCCATTTTTAGTTCAAACCCTATCGATTACTTTGCTCATCGTTTTTGTTGCACGAAATCGAATGCAAACATCCAAACAGAAAGCTAGATTTGAGCTTTTCTTGAAAAAGCAATTACTAACTCTAAAAGAACTCTATATTAGTCCGTTAGTAATAATATTCTCGGCGCTACCACAAATAACGCTTTCTTTTTACTTGGCTTGTTCATCAATGAGTAACTGGCAACGGTATTTTCTTGTAAATACCTATCTACTCTGTTATATACCCCAAACGATCGGATTCTACTTACACGTTCGACCATCAAGTACGTACAGACGTGAATTTCTAGGAAGTTCACTCGGAAGAACGAGACTATTTAGATGGATTCTAGCCCAACGCTAGAATCAATATGATCAAACGGCAATCGAACTATGTATATATTTCTATTATTTTCATTTATGCATTATCAAAACTGTTAACAATGAAAAAGATTGTTGTTGTACGAGTTCGTAACGAATTAAGACTTTGAACTTTTACCGCTGTTCTATGATTTTGAATTTTTATAATAATCTCTGCAAGGCGAAATGAAGGCAGATCTTCAACTATGATATTCGATACAAGAATACTTATGTCAAAAGAGAAAAATTTAATTTTAGTGGAAAAATCTCTTTATCCAAAAATCCATCCACGTCTGCTAAGACCATTGGCAACTATGATACCTCATTTACGAACATTCACATTGAAATTGATGTGTAAATTCAGATACATACAGTCTTGTTCGTTTTTAAAATCAGCTGCCAAGTTTTATCTAATTTCATGAAATCTCTTCTTCTTGAGATCAAATATAGAAAGCGTTTTCACAAAAAAAAGTCTAAGTGTGGGTGTGGATGAAGTGTGTCTTGTCTTAACTTTTATCCACACCAATAGCGGCGCCCTACATTCTACACTTACACCCCTTGTATAATGGATAAAAATATAAAAAAACAAAAAACTGAAGTTCAATACCAGCTGCATTCAAAAATCGAACGATGTTTATATTACTGTTTCAGAAAGTCACCCGCTTGTCCACATAGCATAATGTTCAATTATTTCAATGCCATATTCATAATTAGTTCATTTATTCTGTCTATTTTCTAATAAATATTCCTATTCGCAACGAGCTAAGCTTTTGTGAATTTCGAGGAGTCGTGAAAAAAAAAGGAAAATACTTGTAGTACGTGCCTGAACGTCCAGAAATATCTGATCTCACCCGTCTTTACCTGAACGCCCATAATGAATGACCCTCACGTTAAATAAAAAAAATAAGAATAACCAACACGATTGTACAATACTTTGCCAAATTCACTGTAGAGTATGAAATGCTATATTTCCGAAGCCTATTACATATAAATACAGTTATGGAGTCTTAGAGAAATAGCTGCTTCCAAATAGTGATATCACACTACATTATACTTTGGATTTGATGAATGATTTATGAATAAATGTACATAGCATTGTCATGATAGACGTATCACAAGTGCAGCTATATCTTCTCTCTATGAACGCATATCGTCTTACTTGTCTAACTTTTAGCACTGATGGTGTTTTTTGAAACAATCAATTTTTCCATCATGTAAGACCTCAGCTGTAATTGAGAAGAGGAAAACTTACATTTCTTCAAGGCGATTGGTTCCTTCTTCATGCTTTCTTGAATTTAATCTTCGTCAATCGAGTCGCGTGCTTGAAGTAAAAGAAATACCATATAGCATACATCGAACACAATATATAAAAAAAGTCGCTGAATAAAATAAATAGTTGTGTTTTATCTTTGTAATTCATATTCATCTTCATGACGTTAGAGAATTGACTCAACAGCTCATGAATTATTCTAATTGCACTCCTAACACATAAATACTCAAGCTACTTAACCAACTAAGAACCAGTTGCAGCCGAAATGTGTACAATAACATTGACTGACTGACTGGTTATTCAGACCAGAGTTGTAATCGGTAGTGGTAAACGGTTGATCAAGATCGGTTCGGTAGACAAAATTTTTTGTTTATTGGCCGATCCCGGTCTTTATATTAGTTTTATTTATATTTTTTCTTTGGAAAATTGGTCATAAAGTATCTTTTTCTAAGAAATTATACACTGTATACTGATGTCGGAAACTGTTTCTGCGTGGGATCATATATGAGACTGTGTACCGCATACACTTTATCCACTCATTTTGATATCTAGATATGTTATTGAAACAAAATCGAATAATTATTTAGCGTTGTAACTTATCATAGATTTATATGTAGTTTCTAATATATATTGAATATATTTTACACAGACGTGAGAGATCACAAAGTAAATGTAACGGGAAAATTAGATTAGGTCTACGGTTAATTCACAATGTTCATATCTGACAGACATTTAATCAATACGCAAAACTAATATAGAATGTGTAGTGCTACCAAATTTTTTGTTAACGGATAAATATCACGAGAGAGAAAACTTACAGAAATAAATCGTGAAAAGCGCTATAATACTGAAACAAAAGTCTGCCATCATTACTGTAGTCATTAAGAAACAGATATGACTCATCGACGGCTTCATTTCAGTGTTATAGAATCAGAAAAGTGAAAAAGAACTCATACTGGTATATCGGCTCATTTGGTTTGGTGTGTTCGTTTAGACTGGTACCGGTAAGGAAAGAATCTCCTAGTTCTAACTCTGGTTTAAACGTGGAGATAACTGAAGTAGTGGTGTTGGTAGAGCTAGGTGCGTGGAGGTAACGAAATTGTGAGCAAAGTGGAGATCCACACCACTGTTCCTATCTCGCTGATTACTTCTTTTTGTAGTCATATGTTCATTTTCTCTCCTATTGTGGCTCTTAATGCATTAATGCTTTGATATTGGCTGCTAGTTCTTAAAAAAGATTACCATCCCGAATTCTGAATCTTAAAAAATCAGCTACGTACCCAGGTCGAACAGGCACGGTCGTAAACGATCGTATACGGAGGAAAAAACGGTCGTTTACAACCGTCGTACACAGATTTCGTTAACAATCTCTGTTTTGCCCCGTATTTGCTCGTATACGATCGTATTTGTCCGTATACGGTCACGGTGATATACCACCGTAATACTGAATCATGTAAAACGCTAAAATACCACCGTTTACGGTCGTATAGGGAGCGTATACGAACTCCGTAATCGTCAATCTGGGTATTCAGGAATCGTAAAGGGCAAGTAAATATCAAAAGTTATTGCATGCTTACAAATTGCTTCTTGAGCTGCTAGTCGTCGCATTTGCTCATCTCAATAACGGTTTGCGACATATTTTCCGTCTTTTCTAATAAGATACACGCTCAGTCCCATGTCGGTAACATATGTCACTCGCATAATAATATGTAGATCATTATGCACGACATAACACATTTCATTAAGTGTAAAGTCAGAGAATGTTAGATTCTCAATAACTCTAATATAAGGGAAGTCTCGCCGTCAGACCCATACAAATAATTGACATATTTCGTCCAATAATCACCTTCGAGTTTGACT